CACTTAACAACAACAACAACAAGCAACAACATGAAAAAATATTACGAATTCAGAAAAGATGAAGACCATAGGAATATGTGAAATTGAAATTCATATAAGGAAAGAAACTGAAGAAAGAAAAAGACATGATTAGTGCAGAAACAGGACTAAGTCACAGGTCACAGAAAGGAGAACAATAGATTTGTCCAAAAGTATGCAAATAATTAGCAAAGCAAAGAAAAAGAAACAAGTAAACAGAGAGAAAGTGAGAGATATGGAAGCCAGTGCAAGAGTCAGCATACATATATTAGGAGTTTTTGAAAAAGAAAAACAAAATAATGAAATAGGAAAATAGAACTAATCTTTAAAATAATGACTCAAGAAACTGTCCCTGAAATAAAGAAGACCTACATGTAAGAGACATATGTACCTATGAAATCAGTCCAGATAGTCAACACTGAGATGTATCATATTTATGTTACTAAACTTTCAAGATAAAGTCCTGTCACCCTAGGCAAAAAGACTAAGTCATTTATAGTACATAAAAATCAGGTTGGCATCGTTTTTTTTTTCCCAAGATTTGAAACACACACACACACCAGTTCAACTGCTTTCACAAGTAATCAAGAAGAGAGTACAGATTTGATAACCATTCAAGTGGTCTTTTAGTATACTAGAGAAGAGGTTTCTAACACATAAGAATTCAGGTATTAGCACATTGATGAGCTACCTCTTCTTAAGCAATCTATTGGGGAATAACCCATCCAAACACAAGATGCCTGGGGAGCCCTGAGCAAAAGAATTGTTAACCAGCAATAAGTAAATTTCACTGTGGATCTAAAGAGGAAACCAAAGATGGGAGTAATAGTAGAAGAACAGTGAGTAAATGGTATTACCTCATAGCTGACTGGTATTTAAAGCTGCCAAGGCTTTAAGAAGAATGCTAAGAGTACTATGGTCTGCTAAAAGGACTAACAAATCTGTTCTGGAAGAAGTGCAGCCAGAATGCTCCTTGGAAGCAAGAAGGCTAGACTTCATCTCACCTACTTTGTTCATGTTGTCAGAAGAGACCATTCCCCTAAAGATAGCATGCTCGGTAAAGTGTAGGGTCAACGAAAGAGGAGAAGGCCGTCAACGAGATGGACTGACACAGTGGCTGCAAGGATGGGCTCAGGTATAACAAGGATCATGAGGCTGGCACAGGACTGAGCAGTGTTTTGTTCTGCTGTGCATAGGGTTGCCATGAGTCAGAGACTACTCGACAGCACCTAACAATAACAACAACAGTCAAGGTGAATAACAGAAGTTAAGAAAGAGTAGAAAGATAAGACATCAAAAAAGATATGACTGATCAAAATGGGATAGCTGTCAAGAAGAAAATGAAAATAACCTAATTTTATTGTTGCTCGTAGTGGAGAACCAGTAGAGACCATCTAAAGAAAAAAAAAATTATAAAAAGGCATATAAAGAAATTGTATATATAAGGCTATTAGTAAAAAATGAGCAACCAAAGAATACATTTAACCAAAAAAACAGTAACTCATTGCCTGAAACACATTAAAGGAAAAGTATGAAACAATTATCCTGTGTTTTTATTTCTGGTAGGAATTACACTTTGAGGTAAGCAAGTAACTCTAGTTGATAAGAAAAGTTCTCTATAGAAGAATTGCAGCTAATATATAAAGAAGAAACAATAAAATTAGAAAATCACATACTCCAATATCTCTATAGATCTCACAACTATCATATGAAAGATTTAATAGGAACTAGATCTCAAGTGGCACCAAAATACCTC